CCCACTCAGCCTGCATGAATGATCGGATGAGGGAAGAGTCACCAGTGTCAAATGCCTCTGAGATGTTAAAGCCTGGCAGGTTCTAGAAGTCACTGGTCTCCTTAGAATAGGTAGAGTAAAGACAACAAATAGGAATTTATTTTAAAATAAAGTATTTTATTTTAAAAAACTAAGTTAAAAAAAAACTAAGTTATAAGTGTTAGTATACATCTGTAATCTTAGCACCCAAGATATTGAGGAAGGATGATCGTCAAGTTCAAGACCATCCTGGGCCACATAGGGAGACTCTCAACAAAACTAAATAAATAATAAGTGGTGTTTTGATATCATTTTTGCTTGTTTTTGAAACAGAGTTATCTCTGTAGTTCCAGCTATCCTGGAACTCACTTTGTAGACCATGGTGGCCTCAAACCCAGAGGTTCACCTGCCTCTGCCTCCTGCACCACCATACCTGGCTGTGTTTTAGTATCTTTGTCCTGTATTTTAAAGGGTTTGGGCAATGTCTTAGAAGCAAAGCAAAGCAAACAAACCAGACAGAATGAGAAACTAGAGCCTTTAATTCGAATACTCAGGAAGCAGAAGCAGGCAGATCTCTGTGAGTTCCAAAACAGCTAGGGCTACATAGAGAGACCTTGTTTCAAAAAATCAGGAGGGGGAAATGGAGTAAAAAGGAGGAGGAGGAGGAAAAGGAGGAGGGGAGATAGGAGTCAGGGAGAGAAGAAAGAGGAAGGGGAAAGGGAGGGGGGAGGAAGTGGTTGGGGAGAGGGAGAGAGGAGTGGAGGGAAGAGGAAGAGTGATTTTTTTTCTGTCAGCTCCGTGGCTGCACATGATTCTATTGATATTTTAATTATCATTTACCACCCCAAGGCCCCTCAATCAGCACCCCCCTGGCCACTCAGGCCAAAGCTTGGCAGATCTCACAATATGTAGGGATTAAGTTTCTATCATTCTGTTTATCAATAAAACTAGGGAGTCAAAGGCTGGAGTAAAAACCTGATAGCTCAGAGAGGTTGAGTAGCAACTAGCTGACACTGTTTTTTGGCTGAACATACTACAAGAGACATTACTTCTCTCATCCCAGAATCAAAAAGGAAGGCACCAAACTTAAGTACCTGCCCTTTCCTTCCTGTGTATCTTATCTGTCCAAATTAGCTGGCTTCTCTAAGACCAATTCCAGTCAGCTAGTTGCTAACTTTATTGGCAAGTCTCAGGAGTATCAGAGTATGATCAAAATATCCCACAACAGAAGGGAGGAGGTAGAGAGAAGAGAGAGAAGGAAAGGGAGGGAGGGGAGAAACAGAACATACTTTTCCCATGTCACCACAGAGTCTCATGAACACAAGATGGAGGCCCGAGCAAGGCATTGCTGCTAAGGTGTAATGGTCCCTAACACTGCTTTACAAGAGGTGCTGAAGACTGCACTCATCCATGATGACCTGCTACAGGAAATTTCCAAAATGGCCAAAGCTTTAGATAAATGCCAAATCCATCTTTGGGTTGTGGCATCTAATTTTGAAAAGCCCGTGTATGCCAAGTTGGTGGAAGCTCTGCTGTGGAATATTTGTTTAACTAGACAAAGATGTGTTACATTTGTTTATGCTACATTTGTTTAACTATATGCAGATCTGTTGGATTTGCATTAAATAAAATTAACCTAGGCTCAGAGAGGTGGGGTTAGCAACTAGCTGACAAGAAGTAGCAGGGAGGCACATAGGACTTTTTTTTTTTTTTTTTTTTTTTTTTTTTAAGTGGGAGCAGTGTGGAAGGAGATAGGCTTCCTGGAAAGCCAGCTAAGAGAGAAAGTCAGTTGTTACTCTAACTCTTTAAGCTCACAGGTTTTCACTCTAGCCTTTGAATCTCCAGTTTTATTAGAATTAGCACAATGGAGATCAATCTAACGTTAGCTGCAGCAACAGAGCCATTGTCTTCGGGAATAGAATCTCCCCCAGGCTTCTAGCTTGGCCAGTAGTAGTTTAAAGTGCAGCCACTGTGACAAGGTAAAATAGCCAAGCCTTTTTCACTGAGCACCAAATAAATCTAAACTAAGTTGATGACAAGAAACTAGAGCAATGGGTAGGCCTCTGTAAAATTGATTGAGAGGGGAAGAAACCCAGTAAAGTGGTTGGTTGTGAATGTGTAGTAGTTAAAGACTAGGATGCCATCAAAGAGTACTTCAGAAGCAAGAAATGAACAAATAAAAAACTTCTAAAGTTATATCACATTTTCTCTCATATACAGAATCTAGATTTATCAATATACACATTGATAAATGTGGGCACCTAACATGAGGAAAGTAAAATAACATATATTATGAAAAGGCCATAATGAACAAAGGAAGTAAAAAAAATTAACTCAAAAAAGTACTTTAAAATTTGACAAAATGAAAAAAAACATGGAGAATTTTAAAGGATGTCTCTTCCTGGAAGTGATAAGAAAATGGTTTTTTTTTTTTTTTAAAAAAAAAAGGATGGGAACAAAATTAATGGCAGTAGTTTCATCCAACTGACTACTAATTCATTTCCAAATCATTTGCAAACTGTTAAGAATATTGCAACAATTTCGGTCAAAGTGAATTAACAAAAATTAAAATGGAGTGGAAGGAGCTGTAAAAGAGCACTTTCCTAGCTTAAGGCCCTGAGTTTGATCTCCAACACTGAAAAAAATGTAAATGAGTAGGCAAATTAAGCAATAAAGCAAATGATAAGTCGACTAAATTTAGTGGCTAAAGAGAAAACAGCTATCAATTGAGAAAGGAGGGAGCCAGTGGGAAACATGGAAGGGAAAGCTTTTCCTTTCACCTACCCCCACCTTACCCAACTAACCTGTTTGTCTGCCTTCCCTCCAGGCCATCTGCCTCCAGAGGTTAGGAAAGCAGAGACCAGACTCGTGACAAGACTATACTCCTCCAGTCCTGCACTGATGACCTAAAGACACACATCTGCCATCTGCATCTCATATTTAAACACTGGATTGCAAAACTTGTTTCTTCCTTCTGGAGTAAAAGAGTGGAATTTTCAATTCCTTTGACTCCAATTTTGAACCAGACTAGACTATGATGTGGTCTAGGCCAAATATTCTACCTTTTACTGGAAGTGTGCTTAATATTTGGGCCTGGAGTTTCAAAGGGCAGGTTGGAGAATGGAGGTTTGGTTTGGCAAGACCTGTTAGTACCTCGAATTGCTTGTCCCATGGTGAAAATCTGAGCAAAATCCTCTAAAGTGATGCTCTGGATGCAGAAGCCCCTGTTGCTCAAATACAAGGGCAAGACTGAGACAATCCACAAGAAAAGCAGGAAATGCTCCATCAGCGGTGACACTGAGCAGAACTGAAAAATTATTCTGTGCTAGGAGAATGGACATTACTGGGGCTACGAGAGCTCGGTTCATCACAGGATTCTCGATAGAGCAGAAACAAGCAACTTTTAGGTTCTACTCAATGCTATCCAATGCACTGGGTATTTTACTTAAGCTAATGGGTAAACATCTTCATGGCTCAAACTTAAAAAACAAAACAGTGGAATGTAAAAAATGAATTAATAAAAAATACAACTCCTTGCTGGGGTATATCCCTGAAAGACATAGAGTATGTGGCTCAAGGGGGACACTGAAGCGGATTGTTGGGAGTAAGAAATTACTAGAATTATTAACGCCAAGTGCGGAAGGAACACAGCACCGCATACTCTCAGAATTTCAGGCCCCGGCGCCATAGGGAGCAGGCCTGGGGGTGGGGTCGGGGGGAGGGGGATTCTGAGAACGAGGCTCAAGTGGCAGAATCCGGGTCCTTAGAGGGTCTCTTAGGAACCTGCAGCTAGGCTGATTCCTCAGCAGGTGGCAGGGAAGAGGGCAGGGAGGTGTGTCGCCATCTAGCCCTTTTGGCACGTCTGGTCTGGCAACCTGGCTTGGTGAAGTGTGAAATTTGGGCACTTAGGGAGCCTGTTAAGAAGATAGGGACTCAAAAGCGGGCTCTCCGTGGGATGGCTCCGTGGGATGCTAGGGGGAACGGGGAGGACTTCAGTAGGTTTCAGGGTCTGATGATCAGCGCCCTGGTCCGGATTCTAACAATCTCCACCTCACATCAGAAGAAAAGAAGGCTCGGGACGGTAAACCCACTTACTTCACGGTGGAAGTAGACCTGGGCTTCTCAGTTTCTGCCCTTCAGAAAAGTTGCTGCTAATTCAATCTTTTTCTAGCAATTGGTAATCGCCTGGAGCTGGGTGTGTTTCAGAGTGCTTCACACACAGGGAGGGGCTTATCGGGCCTCCCCGCCCGGCTTCGCAGCACTTATACAAAGCCATCAGACTTTTAAAGGAGCCGAGGCCTAGGCACTAAGAGGAAGCCCAACAAAAGACTACGGTCCCGCAGACCCCACGGCCGGGGCACCCTGCGCACACGGCGCTGGGCCGCCACCACCACCGATCCCCAGGCTGGGTGCCGGGTCTCCCTCCGGCTCTGGGGACTCCAGGACAGCGCTGAGAAAACCCGCCTTCTGGCCGGGAGGAGAGTGGCGCGCGAAGCCAGGCCCCGCCCCCGGTCCACCTCTTCCGC